AGAAAAAAAAAAAAGAAAAATGGGATAGAGGATGAACAGTGGAACGGTTGGCAAACCGTTCCACAAAATTAAGCATGCCGTTTCCGCCAGATGAAGAGAGTGGGTTGGAGAAGATTTTCCTCCACAGGTACCGTTTCCGCCAGATATGCAGTGCAGGTTGGAGATGCTCTTATCATGTGTTTGGTGTGGCCCGCAAAGAATCTTTAGACCCGTGACTAAGGGTTTGTTTGGAAACACTTCTTGAGAAGTTCATTTCAAGATGGACTTTTAAAAAGTGACTTCTGAACAAGTTTCTATTATAAACTTCTTCGAAATGGACTTTTTGTGGGAGTTACTTTCTTAAAAATCCATTTTGTTATTAATACCAAACATCCTTTTATATAGAAAATGGACTTTTATAGTCAAAAGTCCATTACAAAAGTGCATCCAAACATACACTAAATCTGCTACATACTTAAATCTTAAGTATGTACGACGAAATACACTACGGTGGAGGTGAGATATAATTTATTGAACCTTTAATGAATATCAAAATGACTAATTTACCCTTCACCTCTGATGAAGACGAGCTCGCGATAGCTTTCTTGGAGATATACGACCGTTAACCATTGAAATAAATCCTGTAAATTCTAAAAATCAAATTTGTGATCGGACCGATGAAATTACTAATTCAATGGTTAACTGATCGAATCAGTGGTCGAACCGGTTTAGTTAATAATTTTTATTTATTATATTATATAATATATATCTGTACATATTTTTATCATTTTTTTAATCGTATAACTACGTTTCTCTTAAATTTAATAGATTGGTATGTTACTTATAATGAAATCAATACTCTTTGGTAATTTGGTCTTAGTGAATACTTGAATCGGTGTGTTTTTTAATCGAATCATGGAATCAATATGTTGGTTGTTTGTTTTAAATTTGAATGAATCAATACTCTTTAATTTAGTTTATATGTCTGTCCCTTTTTTTTGTCCCAGTCCCGAACCGTTTTGACTCGGTCTCAAACAATATTGGTCCATTTGGGACGGTGCACCGGTTCATAAAAGTGGGATCGGTACCGAGACAAGTCAAATCCCGGACTACGCTGACCACTAATAAATAATATTTTTATCTTGTGTAAGTGATTTTGTAGCCGCTAAACAAAATGGCCTAGAGAAACTATCCTTGCGCTTTCTATATATTTGTATCTCTTTCATTGGTTTAATTGAACCATTACACAGGCTCTTGATGTCTAGTATATCAAGTAATACATTCAACACTTTATGTTTCTCACTGAAAATTTTGTCATAAAAGAAAGCAAGATTGAGAAAATAAGTTGCAACATAGATACTAAGATGCAATTTATCCATTTGAGCCATACTAATTTAAGTGTAAGGCTTGTACACATTTTTTTTTTTTTTTTTCTTTTCTGAACATCTGCTTGATACCTTTCTTTGCCCTTTGCGTTCCTTCATAGTCTGCATCAGTAATTCACACTAGTCTAATAAGAGGGCCTGCAAGTTTAACCGCATTTTGGCACTCTTGCCAAAATTTAGCACCCAATATGGTTTCACAAATGTTTTCTCCATCTACATAAAACACTACTCATTCGAAGAGACAACATTCTTTTTATTTACCAAATCCTAAAATGATTGAATTTGAATATTTTTGAAAATGTATTAGAATTTGTTTTCTAAAAGTTCTCTTGTTTCTAAATGTCGTGGAATTTAGAATTACACCATATCATAATGATAACATTTGTTTAAAACAATGATAAAACTTGAATTGAACTTACCAAAATCTTTTCAAAATTTTGGTTAAGAAAAAGACATAAGAATCTACAAAAAATCAATGCATTTAAGTTTTAAGAAGTTGCACATAGTTTTTTTTTTTTATAAAAGTTGTACATGTTTTTTTAATTGATTTGTTTTTTTTTTAAAAAAAAATAATTGGATAAGGTTTGATATTAAATATTAAACATCAAATTCAGACCCAATTTTTTTACAAAAGAAAAAATGTTGATACTGAAACCTATTTTAGTTTAAAAAAATATGGATATGATTTTGATGGTACATTTCATTCAAATTTCAATTGTTTCAAAATAAAAAATTCACATGTTTTTTAATTAAGTTCTTACAATATTAAGATAATTAATTAATTAATTTTTTTTTGGCCAAACTTACTAAAAAGATATTTTGTGTCTTTGAACAAGAGAGCCGGGCGGGTATGCCAAAACCCGGTCGGCCACACAGTGCCCATTCTATTGACTGTAACACAAGCTCAACAAACTCTCAATGGCCCACACTCATGGCGTAAGGATCAGAAAGCAAAAGCGCAGTATATCCAACCTTCTTTCCCCGCTAATAATCCATTCTTATCGCCAATTTTATTCTCTGCTCCTCCACTTCAGATGAGCCTCTGAGTGCTCGCTCCTGTCAGGAAGAGAGTATGGGAACCGGTGCATCCAAGAACCCCGACAGCAGCTCCCATGGCAGCGATGAGAGAGAGGACCAAGCCGGCGGTCAGCTCTACGTGTCTCTCAAGATGGAGAACTATAGGCTCAAAGGGGAGCTCATTCCTCACGTTTATGGCTCCGCGCCCCTCGTCGGCTCCTGGGACCCCTCCAAAGCCGTACGTTTAACCATCTATTGCTCTTCTGCATTTTTCTGTTAGATGCTCGCTTGTTTCTTCCTTCCTTCAGTTTTTCTAATTCGTTGAGGAAAATTGCTTTGTTGATGGGCCCATATGCGTTTACGGATGAAATTGTTTCTTTAAATTCTTCAGCTGTCGATGGAACGAGAATCCACGTCTATTTGGGAATTGAGTTTTGTTGTTCCACCGAACCACGGTAATTAGCTTCCACTGTTGCTGGTCATGAATTGTGCGTCCTCATTCGTGTAGAATGTAGATTTGAAACTCTGACTTTAGCTCTCTCTCTCTCTCTCTGTTTAAATAGAGACCTTGGATTTCAAGTTTTTGTTAAAACCCAAGTATAGTAACATCCCATGTGTGGTGGAGGAGGGTCCAAACAGGCAATTGTCTCGGGGTACGTTGCGCGGGGATAGAAGCTGTTCGCTGTTTAAGTTGAATGAGGATGTTCTTGAGTATGGAGTACTGATTAAAGCTGACAGGGTCTCACCATTTGATCTTGCTGCTAGTTGGAGAGCATATCAGGAGAATTTTCAGCCTTCCACTGTTCGTGGGATACCGGATGTCAGTATTAACTCAGCTGCTGAAGCCCGTAATGAGGTAGTTGTAGCACTTGCCATGTTACGTGGGTCCTTTCATCTACTTTTCTTGTTCTGTAGATTGTAAATAAGGATATTGTGTGAAGTCATATTATCTCCCTTCTAAGTTGCTTTGGAGTTCTCGTGTTCCTTCATATGGTTTTAATGCTCTCTGTTGCAGAATGAATCTTCGGCTAGTTTGGAGCTTGATCTTGAGCACTATGTGGTCCCGGCTCCAGCAACCTCTGCAAATTCAGGTCTCGTTTATGCAGCTAACATGACCGAAACTCCTAGGTCACTGAGTCGTGTTGGGGTATTTTCAAGGACTGATGGCTCTAGTGGCACATTACATTTACAGAGAGATACTGGTGCCGCTGTTGACAGACCCGAGGTACTGGTGCTATTCATCTTACTTGTCCTTTTGATTTACATTTTATTCAAATATGATGTGCTTTTTTTAAGCCTTTTTTTCCTTTATAATCCATGTGCTGGTGTTATGGAATAAATCCCTTATGTTTGATATATCTACTTGTCAATTGGCATGTATATAGTGGTCTTGAAAGATTTAAGGAAAGTTGAGTACTTCAAAATCTTCCACTTGCAATTGAAGTGACAGGATGGATATTTTTCCTATGAATGTCCATCCTCATAGGAAACTGATTATTTGTTTATTTGTCAAGACAACATAACTTCATGGTCATACCTTGCTGATTTGAAGGACAATTGCTTGCTTTTATATAAATAGAGGAATTGAAACTGATATAACGCGTAATTGCTCATGACACCCATAATAGAACTGTGAGTGCAGACTCTTGTAACCTTGGAATGTCCCTATTTATTATTTCTATCAGATTTTTGGTTCTATTTTATATCCTGTTCAATGTTCATATATTGATACCTCAATGTAAGTCTTTTCTTTTTTGTGGTCTGTGGTGATGAACTTCTATCAGGGGATGGAAGTCATTGTATTAGATGCAACAAAGCTGTCTTTAGGATCTGGCTTGGCTGAGTCAAAGTCGGTTGGAACCATTTCATCTATGCAGAAACAAGAAGGTCATAGAGGACTCTTCGTGGATCGGGGGGTTGGATCTCCCAGACTTGTGAAATCGGCAAGTGCATCAATGTTCATTGTTGATCCCAAACTTAATTCGGAGTCAAAGGTCTGTGGGTACATTCAGGCTGCGATTGGCCATAAGATTTATTTTCGAAAAAAAATGTATTGTTCAAAAAATGAGATGGAAAAGTAGAATATTTTGTTTTTAGAAAAAAAGGGAGATAGATTTGAGATTGTGATTGGATATGAGATAAAAATGTAATGGTTAAATTTGTTTTGATGTAAAAATAATAAAATATTATTTGATAGTGATTGACCATTAGAAGTATTTGAATCGATGAGTAGTGTTTTCTGTTGGAAAGTATACAATAATTATTGCTTTTATTTTGTAAGTGTGTTAGTGAGATTTATAGAAAAAAAAGTTGGATGGAATTAATAGTATTTTTATGAATTTTTTTATGTTCATTTTCTTTTCAGTGGGATAAATGGTTGAACAAACAAAAATGAAAAAAAAAAAAAATCTTGTATCCAATTGCAGCCTCACTATTTACTATCCACTTTCTAGAGTGCTGATATATACTTACCTCTAACCTCATTTCTCAATGTGTTCTCTAGAACTCTATGCCAGCAGCTGCAGGGGCTGTTGCAGCTGCTGCGGTAGCTGATCAGATGCTCGGACCAAAAGAGGATAGACATCTAGCAATTGTCTTGGTACTTTTTTACTGATTTACGCTTGATACATGTTTCTTTCTATTCTCATGTTTTTGCTCATAAGAACTTTTTTGACATTCTCTTGAGATTTAACCTACTTATGAATAACTATTATACAGATCAAAATACCCATTAAAATAATAAACTTCCCGTAAGCTTTGCATTTCCTTTATAGATCCCCCATTAAGGGTTTATTTTCTAAAATGTGACGCTAGTAAAATGGTTTTGTAATTTACAAGTTAGCTGACTCTCTGTAATTGAAATAATAATCAACAGAGGTCCTTTTTGTTAACCTTATTAATTAGGCTGCTTTAACACTATTCAGAATACCTAGAAGGTGTGACATCTGACTGGTTGAGTATATGTCTACCGCAGGTTGGATTGCCTGCACGAGGAAAAACCTTCACTGCAGCTAAACTTACTAGGTATCTTCGTTGGTTAGGTCATGACACCAAACACTTCAATGTTGGAAAGGTAATCATTGTTGTATTGTATTGTCTTAATCCTTCATTGGGTTCTTCCTGAGAAAAGAAAGCTGTCATGTGTGTTTCTGTTGCAGTATCGGAGACTAAAGCATGGAGTTAATCAGGTACTATCAGTTGTTACTATCACTTCTTCCTCTTATTGTATTTAGATATTGTTAACATTTCGGAAACAGTTTCTTTTACAGTACTTGTGGGTGTAGTGTTCTGGAGGGAATAAGACTAAAAGTAACTGAAAGGTTTAGGGCTGATCAACACCTTAGAGAGTAAGAGATACCACTTGAGTTACTATGGTATTTATAAACCAGTTATCTACACTATATTCTGAACACTATTTCATGAGTCTACACTAACCTCTTTTCCTTAATATTTTTCTGGTTAAGTGAAGAATCGATGCACTTCTCTAATTTGCCCTGTTCACCATCTTTTAGAAGCGTTTCCAAGAGTCTGGCCTTTTATCAGTTAGTTTACCGATGAAGGCATAAATTTTAATTGGCATGTTTTGTGTAACAACCCTGTTTTCAGTGTATCGTGGCATGTTTATACTCATTCAGATTAAAATGGTATAACTATTGAGATGTCTAAACAATCATTGTAAATAAATGATGCGTCTTTCAGAAAAGCTGCATTGATGTCAAATTTTATTGTCTCTGGGCCCTTGTCATAACAAAATTATAAAGGTACTATTAAACACTATATTAAGGGGAACAGGGAAGGAAACAATGAAAATGTGAGTGAATCCTCGATATTTTTCTGTATTTGGTCCAGTTAACTTTTTCCTTTATATTTAGGAAGTATAACTACCTAAGCTGTCCTGTGGTTGCTCCCATAAAATATAAGTTGAAGCTACTACAATTAAAGTTATGTTTCCAAGATCATATAGAACTGCCGAGTACATGCTATGGTTACAAGATAATGATATGATAATTGGTACCATTATACCATAAGGAAGTCGAAATTTGCAGAGAATTCCTTTACTTACTCCTACTATTCTCCATGAAACTGGATTATCATTTATCTAAAAGAGTCATTACCTTTCTGATGCAGTCAGCTGATTTCTTCCGAGGTGACAACCCTGAAGGCATAGAAGCACGAAATGAGGTGCCTTTTCCTTTACAATTGCAGAAATTCTTTAGAATGAGCTCTTTCCAGTAGTGTTTTGTGGCTTTGGTGTGTAAGACTTGATTATATATTTTCAGAATATTGTTACATATCTCGCATTAGCCATGTAATTTTATCTTCGGAGTATGTTAACTTGAAAATTTATAATCAGAGAGTACTTATTTAGAATTCAGCTTAGTCTCCTATTCCATACTTGTTAGTTATTTCTACAACTCACATTTGGAACTTCCATAACTATGATTTTGTTTCCAAATATTAGCTTCAATTCACTTCATTCTCTCACAATTTTACTGTAAAACAACGTTAAAAGCCGGATTACCAGTTGTGTACTTCCCCCTCACAACCCTTGTAAAATGAAGAATTTCAAGAATCATTACAGAGTATGTTTCTTCTTATTCTCTTCCTGTATGGGGGATGACAATCATGTCCCTCACCTTTCCGTATATGTTCCAATAGGTGCTAAGTGTTTACATTTTTTACTGCGTGCCAGTATTTTCACACTTCTTCAGCCAAAATACTTGCCCAATAAAGTAAATCATGTCTCAGTTCCGTGTCCTTTCATAACATGCGCAAGTGTATCTGAAATATAAGCTTGTCCTGTCATAACATGGATTCGACCTAGGATGTGCATTGTTTTGCCTGAGAATACTTGCTAGACACAATGATCATAGCAGTAAAGCTCTCAATCGTTTTAATGCTACCGCTGGAACCAGCTCAAGAGTAAAGTCCCTTTTAGTTCTATGCAAAATCGCCACATGATATGTATTTTGCTGCATGAAAGAGCACAACAGCTTTCTGTGATGTGCAAATATATCATAAAATTTGTCTAAACCGCAGTGATGTCATGACAAGTACCATATTTTATGTTTATGGATGAAAAGGTAAAAATATATTTTGATAACAAAAAGTGTGATTGTGCTCGACTGTTTTACTGCCTAATGGTTTCATTTTCGTCAAAATGGAAGTATACTATGTGCAATTTTGTGGGTACTTTTTTTCTTCTTCTTTTTTTTTTTTTTTTTTTTTTTTTTTTTTTTTTTTTTTTTTTTTTTTTTTTTTTTTTGTAATTTGTGACTGTGTTATAAAACCTTTTCTTTGCAAATAATTTTAATTCATGATATGCTACTAGGTAGCAGCGCTTGCAATGGAGGATATGATATCTTGGATGCACGAGGGTGGCCAGGTATTTATTTGATTTAGTTAGTGTGTGCATTTATCTGATAACATCATAATATATTCTAGTTATGTTTAGGTTGGAATATTTGATGCTACAAACAGTACCAGAAGTAGGAGGAATATGCTTATGAGAATGGCTGAAGGCAAATGCAAGGTACAGTGCAAAGTTTTGGTTGATCTATTCATTTTGAACTTTTTGTTCTTGATCCTTTTAAATGTTATTATATGAAAATGTTTCTGTTGAAGCCACTTATCCATCAAAGCATGAATCCTGAAAGAGCGGAAGTAATCTAGAAAGAGACTAGCGCCTATCAGTTGGAAGTAACTTGGATTCTTGTAGATCAAGATTACCTGCAGGCTGTGTAATTTTGTGTTCTCTTATTAGTTTATCTGTGTTCTTCACTTCTTCTTAAGTTTGCATGACATTGATAGCGTGGAATTTGAGGATGATTTAGGCCTTCTCCCCCATGGACAAAGGATTAGCTATGACCGGACAAAAGGTTTTGGGATTATATTAGTTATGGGGTTCAGATCCTCGTGATCGAATTCATATCAGCATTGAAGTTCTGTAATATTTCAAGATATGTAATTTGACCTGAAAAAACGTCTAAATCAAGCTCTCCTGAATTTTATTAGCAATATTCATCCATAAGGAAAGTCCTAAACTTCCTAGTAGTTCAATTTAAGCAATTTAATTGACATTGGCAAAAATGGCATCGAAGTAAATATGCTGCCTAAACTTAAGCGTCATCATAGTATCCTGTTCACGAAGGAGTTTTATGAAGATCACTTTGACTGAAGAAAGCAGCTATATGCAGGGTATACATAAATGAACTTTTGGTGGTCCAAAAGCGTGGAAGAGGCTTTCGCATGAACTGCTTTGATTTTTGTCTTATAGGCTTTTACTAAAGATACCTATATGTGGCTCTGCAGATTGGGCAAAATGTGCTATGATGTAAGTTTAATTTTTTCCTAGATTTCTGACCCAGGATGAATGAATATTTACAGATCATCTTCTTAGAGACAATATGCAATGATCGGAAAATAATTGAAAGAAATATACGTCTGAAGGTTCAACAAAGTCCGGACTACGCTGAAGAGTATGTTGCAAGAAGATTTTGCATCATTTTAGTACCCTGTAATATCAAATTATGATTTGTGGAACATTTCAGGCCAGATTTTGAGGCAGGTTATCATGACTTTAAAGTCAGACTGGATAATTATGAAAAGGTACCTCATGGACATTCTTTCAACTATCATTACTGATAATGTTACATGTTGACTGCTGTCGAGTATAATTAGGTCTAGGTAAATTCCTTTATATTCAGGTTTATGAACCTGTGGAAGAAGGCTCTTATATCAAAATGATTGATATGGTCAGTGGCCATGGTGGACAGATACAAGTAAATCCTCTTTCATTTTTATTGCCTCTATCTAATCGTTTCATTTGTTATCTATTTATTTGGACAAATATACAGAAATTGATGTTACAATTTGATGACCTATTGTGCAACCATTCCTTGAGTTTGTCGCATTGCCTTTTGCTTTCCTTCTGCCATGGCGATCCCAATACAGTAGCAGAATAAAGATGTACAGCTATGTGTATATATTGTAAATTCAATCTTAATCAACGTGATTCTGCTGTATTGTGTTTTGTGCAACAGGTGAACAACATTAGTGGGTACCTTCCTGGACGGATTGTGTTCTTCCTGGTAACTATGTTTTCTGATTTTCTTTTGCAACTTTTTATTTAAACTAAATTAAGGGTGCTTCTCATTGGCTAAGAATTATGTATATGTCAGAAAATATACACTACAAATATCTTTCTTGTACCATACTTTTCGTCATTTTTACTTCACTAATCCGTAGCCCTTATGTTAGAAATATACATGTATTCCAAGTGCAATCCTATCTTGTAGCTTCCGCAAGCTTTCCTTTTCTGAATGCTAATTCTTTTAGCTGTAACTTTTTTGGGGTGTTAGCTTACAGAAGTACCGAAACAACCACTGAGAGATTGATTGTTTTGACTTTTCAAAGATTTACTCAAGTTACTCTCGTTTTTGGAACTTCAGAATCATGATAAAAGAAAAAGTTTCTGACTGAGTTTTGTTAAGATTCCTGCAGAAATGAGTTAAAAATTTTAGTAAGTGGAAGACAAAGATACAGCATTAAATTGTGATCTGAGATGTGAGTTATAACTAAGGGCTAATGTTTGCAGGTAAATACACATCTGACTCCTCGCCCAATTTTGCTAACCAGGCACGGAGAGAGCCGAGCCAATGTCAGAGGTCGAATTGGTGGTGACAGTGTGATAAGGTTCTCTGTGGAATATGAAGATATTGTCTAATGTGTTTTGCTTACTTTCAGAATTATATATAAGCCATATTTGATTTACTATCTGAATAATGAATCAGCATATATTAGGTTCTTGTCTCTTTGCTTTCCATGTGAGTATATGCCAGTGAAACCAGTAACTATCTTTGCCTAAAATTAATATCGCCATCAAAAGTTTATTGTAGTATAACAAGCCAATCTGCTGATGTTGAAAATTCAGAGAAATGGTCCAAGATAGGGTGGACTCGTCTCTTTCCCTTTCTTTCCCCCTCAAAAATCCTATCAAGAAAAAATAGCTTGTTAATGCCTTCCTTCGAACCACTATCATATTTCAGATATAAGAATATGAGGTTTCTCTAGCATAGTATCATATAGCAGAAAACTTCCATTTGAATTATCAATGTATTTGTAGTTTGTTCTGGATATTGATGGAGAGTAGTATTAAGGTCTACTTTCTAAAGGTGGGTATATTGATGTGGTCCTACCATCTTTATAGTTTAATTTTCTAAATTTTTAATCTCTTTTATCAGTGATTCTGGTGAGCTTTATGCGAAGAAACTTGCAAACTTTGTTGAAAAGCGTCTGAAGAACGAAAAAGCTGCTTCTGTAAGTTTATTTGATTCAGTGATATGTGATGAGATTTAGTTTATGCTTTTCCAAGGTTTTTCTAACCTTGATCCGAGCTTCGCTTTACAGACATAATTTTACAATTAAAGGGGTCTGGGCCTTTTTTACAATGTCTCAGTTGGGGGTAGAATGTTGGCTATAGGAATGGAGTCATGTTGAAGTCCTTTCTTTTATTTGATTACCCATGTTATTCTGAAGCATTATTAAAATTGAATGTCATGATCTGTTAATTTAATTGAAATTATTGTTGGTTGTTGTCCAATAAATGTCAGAATGTGGTTCTTTTGTGCAGTTTAACAAAATATTACCATATACTTTCTTGGGCATAACCTTTTTTTATAGCATATTGGCTTTTGGTTGTTTTTGGTCAAAATATGAAATTCTTAGTGGTGGTTTTATTCATTGATCTTAGGTTTAATAGCTTGAAAGTCAACAAAATAGCCACTTTTTATATATTATGGATCTTTTACATAATTACACTTATTAGGAATGTAAAAAAGTTCTTTGTAGACCTACTTGGAGACAATAAAGTACCTTTTAATATTCAATATCCTCTGTAAGGGTGTCCTTAATTTTTTATTTTTTATTTTTTCACACCAGCTTCAAATAATTGTGCTTCTAATTACAAGTACAGAAACCAAGTACATTAGCTTTTGGAACTAAGAGTACCTTTTTATATTCAATATTCTCTGTGGGGTTTTTCCTTCCGTGTGTGTATGAGAGCGTGTGTTACACCACTGAATTCCCTTCTACAGAACTATATCTCCAATCTTATTGTTACCTTTCTTTCTCTTTGGAAGTATTATATTATTACTGCTAAAATATGTTATGGTTCTGAGTAGTCTTTACCATAAAAAATGCTGATCTGTTGGTCAATTTATATTGTGTCGTTGTTAAGCATGTGCAATATTCCTGAATAAAGTTAAACTGTTATTACAGAACACTGTGTACGATGCATAAAGTATCTACTGAGTTCAGCATTTGTCTGTTTTTCCCGTGTCATAGATATGGACTAGCACATTGCAGAGAACAATTTTGACAGCAAGTCCGATAGTTGGATTTCCAAAGGTTTTTCAATGTAGCTTCACAGTACAATGTCCAATCATTAGCTATTGTTGATTTTCTGAGCTGAATTCTGGATGTAATCTTTGGAAGATACAATGGCGGGCACTGGATGAAATTAATGCCGGTGTATGTGATGGGATGACGTATGAAGAAATAAAGAAAAATATGCCAGAGGAATATGAGTATGCTTCAGTTCCCATGGTTACTCTCTTTATTCTGTTTTTGATCTATTCGACGCATCAAACCTGAAAACACTATACAGCATATCTCATGAGTGTCTCCAGTTAATTGCCATGATCGTTTTTCAATAGATTAGTTGAGAATACCTTACCTCTTCATCATTGACCATTTGCTTAAAAGTTGTGTTTAAGTTTTTGACTTTATCCCCCACATACTTCTCCTACATCCTCTCATAGAAATTATGACTCTCTTGAACATACTGGAAGATGTTACTATAGTTATACATGAGAAATGACCTTTCCATCAACACGGATTGAGTTAGGAGCCAATTGAAGATAACTCCATTTCCCAGTTCATACTATCTGCCAAACCTAAAGGGAAAAATTATTGACTTTTTCCTACCAATCCTAATGATCTGAAGCCTAATTTATAGCAATTACTGTCATAAGTAAATAGATAATGATAATCATACTTAGATCCCTATGATACTGGAGCTTAGGATCTCCAATTTATGTTCAATGGTGTCGAGATCTTCCTGATCATCTTTTCATTATCCACTGGAAGTTAAACCTTCTATCAACTACATGAATTTCTTTTTCTTGCCATGATACATTTTCCTTATGCCTCAATTTCTATTTGCATTACAGATGCTAGATGGAAGATGATAGATGAGTATGAAATTCCATTCTTAAATGTGCGAATTTGCTTGAATTCATACATCTATCATATGACCCTGATAATAATTCACACATGATGGTACAGCATTGCCGTCTCATGCATTCTTCATGTGTTATGTTCTTGATCACTGTCTTTTCTCCTTAATTCACTCGTTTCCTATGTTTTTGTTTAGTGTAAATTGCTGCCATTTCTACTTTTTTTTGACAGAGTAATTTACAGCGCTTTCTTTGATTAGCTTTTGCTCTCAGTGCTGACAAAGTACATGCTAGTTCACATCTGCTAAATTTAGTACTATTCTGCAATCACAGATCTCGTAAAAAGGACAAATTAAGATATAGATACCCTCGTGGTGAATCATACCTTGATGTTATACAAAGGTTTGTGTTCTGCTGTCTTATTGAGGTGTTTGTATCAGAAAAAAAGCCTGTTGTATATACTTACCATGCTTCTCGTTTCAGGTTAGAGCCTGTGATTATTGAGCTTGAACGACAAAGAGCTCCTGTTGTTGTGATATCTCATCAGGTCATACAGTTAAACCCATAATTTCTCTCAGAATGCATTATGTGCATGCCAAATTTTTTATTTTTAACTTTTATTTTAATTTTAGGCCGTTTTGAGGGCTTTGTATGCTTATTTTGCGGATAGGCCATTGAAAGAGGTTCCTCACATAGAGGTAATGTACGCATGGTATAATTTTTATATAGATCTTAGAATTAACTTACGATTGGGTACATGTTAAATTTCTATTGGAATTGAAATCTTCACAACATCATAGCATATACAATATATTTTAGATTTTACAATTTGCACACCATGGGCCTGGGTTGTGAACAGGACGAGACAACACAATCTAAATAGAGGCCATTTAATGCTTGTTGAGCAAAATTCTCTCTGTATTCCTGCTTAATAGAGGCCGCTATTTATATTACTAGTTGACGACATAAGAATGCTGCATTTTTTCTCATTTCAAACTCTCACAAACACGTTTTGCTGTTGTAATATGCAGATGCCACTTCATACAATTATAGAGATTCAAATGGGAGTTACAGGAGTCCAGGAGAAAAGATACAAGCTTATGTGATAGCTCGGAAAACTCTCCAAGTCAGCTTACTATCGTTAAACATTCACATTCCTTACACGATACAATGGCCATAACTACAATAAATGGACTCGAACTTGGTTAAAATAATCGCATTTAATGATTGTATGTGTTTTTTTTTTTTTTTTTTGACAAAATGCATGCATGAAGGGAACACCCACAATCTGGAGGGTGCTTGCATTCAGTAATTTATGGAAGCAAAATTAGTTCTGATCTCAACGTGTATGTTTGATTCCTTTGATCCTTTAAAATACGTCGTTGAACTGAGGGGCTCATTTAATACCTTGCACGCTTTTCCAACTCTTTAGTTGTAGAATTTTTAATTCTAGGGGAAAAAGTATTGTCAATGGGGATTTAATTCTATACGCAAATTTCTTGATAGATGGATTGTTGAAATGCGAAACGGAAAGAAGTCACAAAACTTAATCAATTGTGATTTAATTTATTACATAAAACAGTCCAACAAAACTATGATGCACCAAATGTTGGTGATGACTTCGGCAATACGGCAATACGAGCGCGAGTGCGCGCACTCGCCCACCCACCGACCTTTTGGGCTCCAACACAGACACGGGCCTTGGCTTTGGGCTTTTGGCTTTGGCATTGAAATGTGGGCGGGTGACAATTGGATATTAAATACTAGACATGGGCGGTTTGGGCCAGTATTGGACTAGAGCCTTGGGCTCTACACCTATATCCTTTTGGTACAAAATTATTTAAAAAAAAAATTGGCGTAAAATCAAATTCAAACAAAGTTGAATTTGAACTCGGGTTTTGACCCAACCCGTGAGAGAGACAACCTCTAAAGATACATTGTATCTCGAGATGTTGACTTCACTGGACCGTTTCAGGTGGAGTAGTGGTGTGTTAACACCTGAAAACGACAAGCTCAACTCCTGACAGTTTTCCGCCCATTAGAACAATCTTAAATGGGATGGAACATGTCTTATGCGGCAGGTGACTAATGTCATTCCTCACTTGAACTAGAAGTCCTATAAATAAGACAGGGTAGACCTCCAGAAAGTCACTTACAACATCATATGCATTTTCCACTATCTCAAAAGTCTCACGCATCATATACAAGTGCTCGGTTTTTAACTCTGTTCAAGTTCGCCGGAGCTCGAAAGTCTGAAGTGTTATAGCTTCTGCGACGTAGCACTTGTATTTTTTAGGACGAAACGTCTGAATGCATCAGTACACTATTGGCCGTTCTCGACTTACAGAAATAGCAACTCTCGCCTCGGTTGATTCTCCACTCGCATCAATATGTTGTGTATTGTTCTTTTCTGTTTTTAGTTCAAATTGTAAGATTTGAAACAAACTATTCAGTTTATATGTTTCTCAAGTAATATAAACACTCAATTTGTAACACAAAGCATAGTTAAAATGTGTTAGCTACCACTCTATCTTTTAATGAACTCCATTTGCTTGACATAATTTGGTCTAAGATGATAATGTATTCACATATAAAATTTTATTTGGCTTCAATGTTCTTTGACCTAAGCCGAAAGCCATGTTCGGTTGCAATGTTTTCCGTACTCTTTGGCCTTAAATGCGAAGTGGTCCTTAATAATAAATAGAATATGTGGCCAATTGTCGACGACACATTTGATTGATGCAAATGCAATTAGTAGTTAGTGCCCATTTGATTGAACCAAAAGTCCAAAACACGTTGTTCCAATTAAATACACAAGGTTAACTCATGTGACATGTCCCATTAATGAACCTATATGTAGAAAACATATAATTCGAATATGGCACGTTTTCATATGAAATAGTACAACTTTGGTGCTGAAATCTCATATTAAATTCACTCAAAATATTTAAGATATCATATTATCTAAATCTAATTTTATTTTATTTGCGGTGTTGTAATTTAAAAGAAAAAAATCTAAAATTTTAAATTTTATATGATACTAGATATTTTTTTCAAATAAATACATGCAGTGGAGATGCTCCAATTATAGGGATATTTAGAAAAAAATATTAATTATTTTTTTAATAACTGCGAAGACAGATTGAGAGCAAGTTTACATACATAAAATAAATAAGAAATGAGAAATCTAAGTATGACTGTAAATGAATCGAAGCGAAATTTGAACCATTTGATCGAATTCGTGAAAATATTCGAACCTCATATTGAATTTACTATAAAAGACAATTTGTAATTTGTATCCGATTCATTTACAATTATCCAATATGTTTAAAATGTATATGTATGTATATAAATATACTTATATATTTATTGTATTATATATAAAAAAAAATTATATTCTATATAAAATATTAAATATTAGATTATCGTTATTATTAATAAACTGAATACTAGACACAGGCGAATCGAATGTTCAAATTCATATAAAGTTCGGGTACAAAATATTATTTTTCAAAAATTGAGATGTCGATGTGACAATAAATACAACACCCTTACAAAACTTACAACTGATATGAATTAGGTGGTTTAATCAGGGGTTACGATATGTTTTATGCTTTAATTGAAACAATACAAGGAGAGTGTTTCTCCAAGATTTTTATTCAGAGACTACGTAGCAATGCGTTACAACAATATGAGAGTGTATGGAATGTATAAGGAGGGTGTATGTTGTATGGTTTTGATCGTTGTATGGTTATATGAGCGTTATTTAGCTTGTTTCTCATGTCCTTGCTAGGGCCCGAAGAATTCAAATTTATACACGAAAAAAGTAAAAAAAGTAACAAAGGTTTGGTGTCAGCTATTGGCGTTGGGTGGCGTCACGTGTATCTAGACAAAACTCATCCTTTGTGGATGAGACAACTTGGGCGGTGGTTTAATTAGCTTTATTGGTTCGACATTCAGATGAAGAGAGATTGTCAATCTTTCTCGAGAAGACTCAGGGAGAGATCGGCAAAGACTGACTTCTGTCGATTGGGAGATCAACAAACATAACATTGCACCTTGGGTTGTTTGCGTGTTTTATGGGTCGACCGTTGCGAGGACAAACGTAGTCCCAACTTCATGTTTGGACTTTATCTTCGAGATGTCGTGTCTTGAGAAATTTAGACATAACGAATATGAACCTGTTTATAAACTAAACATAAATTTAAAGAAGAAATAGTTCGTAAATTTACATTAAAAGTGTACATGTAAAAGTGCAATTTTTTTTTTTATAGGATAGATTTATACAAAATGATTCAAAATTATAGTGTACGTAATTAGTCGTAGAGAAAATGGCAATCCATCAAACACACTTGATAAATTAAGTCTGACTTTGATTTGTCGATAATGTTAGAGTTGTTTGCGTGTTTTATGGGTCGACCGTTGTAAGGACAGACGTAGGCCCAATTTCTTGTTTGGGCGTTATCTTCGGCGGGTTGTGTCTTAGGAAATTTAGACATAACAAATATAAACTTGTTATAAGCTATAAATATACTAAACGTAAACTTAAAGGAGAAATAGTTCGTAAGTTTACATTAAAAGTGTATATGTAAAATTGTATTTTTTTAAAAGGGTAGATTTATACAAAATGTTTCAACATCATAGTATACGTAAATTAGCCTTAAAAAAATGGCAATCCATCAAACACACTTGATAAATTAAGTCCGACTTTGATTTGTCAATAATGTTATAAATAGACCGACCTCTCAATGGGTATAATCTAGGCTCTGTGCTCGAGTTTTTCCATCAAATAAATTAAGTCTGAGTTTGATTTGTCAATTATGTCATAAATAGGCCTACCTTTCAGTGGGTATAATCCTAGGCTCTGTGCTTGAAAATTTCATTTAGAAGTCCATAAGACTTTGTTTATCGGTTGGGTCACCAGGAAAAGACAAAAAGAAAAAAAAAAAAAGGAAAAATCAATAAATGTGCGTGACATAGGTCACAATGTGACCTAGGGTCACAACTGGTTGGGGAAGAATTTTGGGACATTTGTCTCATTTTTATTGGATAAATGTATTTTTTTAGTTTCTAAAAAAAATAAAAAAAAAATACAAAAATTTATATTTTTTCAGTTTCTACAAATAGAGAACTTGATATATTTTAGAACACAATTATAATTTTCAAATAAATTAAAATAAAATAAATATTTATGTTGGGTTGGGTTGGGGATAAAAATAAATTAGGTTGGAAAATTAAGTTGTGTATGTGGAAGAGAGATAAAGAATTTTTAATTAAAAAATAGAGACCACACTTGATATATTTTAGAACACAATTGTAATTTTTAAATAAATTAAAATAAAATAAATATTTAAGTTGGGTTGGGTTGGGATAAAAATAAATTAGGTTGGAAGATTAAGTTGTGTATGTGGAAGAGAGAAAAAAAATTTTTAATTATTAGGTTGGGTTGAGTTGTGTTGCGGATAAGGATGGTCTAAGGCCAAATATGGTCTACTAGGTTAAAGATTGACCTAATTTATTACTATTCACTCATGGGTGGTTGATTGAATATAAACAAAGTAGATTTTAATTGAACTTGTTGGTTAAATTTAAATAATTTTGAATAAAGTTGAGTTGGTTGAATGATCCAGTCGGTTTTTGAATTTGTATTGGAATAATATTTAAAACGTACTAATTAATACTGATGTAATGTAAAAGTATAAGAAAGATTATTGAAAATAATATATAATGAAAAATATGTGAGTGGATAAATAGTGAATTAATTAAAATTAATGTGTTGTAACTTGTATGAGAATGATTGATTAATTGATATTATTTATTTATATTGATAATGTTGAGAAAAATTGAATTGAATTAAATTAAATTTGAGTTACGTAGTGTAATATCCGATCAGTCAAAATCGAATTTAACTTGTAGCCACTCACACGTCTTCAATGGTCCTGCGTTCAAGCTATATGGACACTTATGGTTCACAATAGTACTTCCTCACCCTATCACATCATAACCTGTCATAAATATTATTAACCGCTTGGTGGCCTTGTGTGGTGCCAGCAATGTTGGAAATTTTGGTTCATTGCATACTCTCGTCATGTTGATAACGTGTTAT